GTGTGTATGAGAGAGAGAGAGAGGGTATATATATGTGTGTCTGTGTGTTAAGAGAGAGGTGGGGGGAATCTCCGCGAGCAAGGGCGAGGATGCCCCCTGCAGCTCGTTTAGGCACCCGCAGTCCTTTAAACACACACACATATATAGGCTATATATGTGTGTGTGTGTGTGTGTGTGCAGGAGGCAGCGCACGCTCACTGCGCACCGCGGGGCATTGGTGGCTGCTCCCAGGTTGCGCCTTTTGTTTCGCGCTCAGGTAGTTCCGGTTGGCTGCACGCCATTACACACCTTTACCGGTCAGCTCCTGTGCTCTGCTGTGATTGGCTGAGTCACGGTTAAGACGTTCTGAAGGTGAGCTCACACCTGTGTGTGCGTCACGAAAAATGTATTCGCCACGGGCACTGTAGCCTACTTGCGTCGCCTAGCAACGGTGCAGTTTAGCGAACTGTGAAAATAGCATAGTGACTGTTTAAATCTGTAATTTAGAAAGGTAAAACATTAAAATGAACCCCAAACTGACTGACTGATTGAATTAAAGGACATGTTTGCTAATTCAACAGCTAACATAGCTACACCTAACCTGCCTTTTTACATTCAGGGCTATTCTTCCAAATATCCACACTAACCATCTTTACTCAAGGTCCACTCACCACCAAGTGTACTGGATGGTCAATTTACTCCTTAAAATGCTGTTAAGTCCCAGAAGAAAGCTAGAATTGAAAGTTAAAATTAAATATTTTGTCAAACAAGTTTGTTTTGTGGTGGTGTGGTAGCTACAGAACTAGTAAAACATGAATGTGATTCATACTTGATCAGCTGACAATAGCCTCAGGGACATTATCATCTACTACTTTGCATCATGCACATTTTGACACAGGGCCCATTCACAAGGCAGACAAGACATGTAATATTGCAGAACCCAACTTGTGGTAATTTTCTCCCCAAACAACTTTCAATTGAATCAAATCACTACAAACCAACAGAGGTAAAACTGGGCAACTACCCCCTGGGCCCTGACTCACAGGGTAATCCATAAAACAACAGCATACAAGGCTTAACTGTAGCAGCCACGGCCTAAATCTACAGTACCACTGCAGGTACTAGGTTTTATTATTATCCGCTTTAAGAAATCAACAAAGCCATGGGATTACTGCCACTAACATCACACCCAACCTGACTTGTTTGGCTGTTTCCGCTTCGACCCAGCATGCTCCAAACAAAAACTGGACAGGTTTATTTTGTCCTCATGTCTCCTTAGGAAGATAACATTGGAAAGCCGCAAGCAGGATGTCGTTTTTTTTTTTTTTTTTAATAAGACACCTGCTTAACACTGCAGTGTAGTCGGATAATCCCTTGTTTCAAACACTGGGGTCATTACTCATGCCAAAAGTATAATTATCAGAGATTGAGGCTATTGTGTGGATTTACTCTTTTGTCCTCTCCTCAAATGACAGTAGTCTTTTCACTTCTGCTTATTGTGATGACTGAAAGGCTTTCAATACTGCTTATCCAGTCTCCACCGTGTAAATAATCTAGTTTATTTTATTTTTTTTAAATCAAAGTAATAGTTATCTGTATCCATTACTAGAGCTAAATTATTCCTCACTTGGAGTCATTATTGTAACACCATTAGTCAGGGCCACGCCAAGATGCCAGCCTTATTAATCGGTCACATTTATAAAGAAACTAGAGCCCGCTCTGACTCATGCTGTGTGTATCCGCGGCCGTATCACTGCAGACACGTTCACTCAGAAGGCTGGAAGAGGAAACACAGCACAGACCATGATCTTTTTGATACAACTGGCACTTAAAATAAGTAAGAAAAACAGAAGTTTGTCTGCTCGGTCCTTCCTGTGTGAGTGCGTAAAAAGCATACAAATGAAGCACACTTGAGACGGTTAAATTTTCAAAGTTTTTTTGTTCAGTTTGGTTTCAAAATAAAGATCACACAATTGTTTAGAGACAATCTACAACAGGAGTTACAAAAAATAGTTGCCCAGGCAATAAGCATACACAGGTTCTGTTAACTATACACATATGGTTACAGGTGTGCTCGTAGTAAATATACACAAGGCTGCTCCAAATGTACACCGCACTGTGGCGGGCTGCCTCTCTCACCCAAAAGGACATAGACAGTATGATACAGCACTTACAGCACTAGAGAAATGCCAAAAAACACAAGAATCTCCTCTGTACAATCCATGGGTTTACCCCTCTGAAAACAGTCATGGGTAATCAAGGGATTTGGGTTTTGTTTTAAATGAGTAAAAGTATTTCTCCCACCCAGCCAGCATACCCATACACATGACACATTTCTTGGGGTAAAGCATTCCTATAAAAAGATCTTAAAAAAAGGTCAAAAAAACAAAACCTTCAACATAAACCAGAAGACACCACTAAGTCTAACATAACGTGTCCAATTGGGAGTCAATGGGAGATCGACGTCTTAAGTTAAGCAGTGACAAGATAAAGATAAAACCAAGCGTGGCGAATCTTTGTACAAGTACTACGCTGTATAGAAAGGGCTTTTCAAAACAAAAATTTGATATTACAATTTACAATATACAACAACTCATATGTCACAACCAAGGAGGTGAGAATATACACTGAAATGCACAGGTTTTTTTCTAAGATTTTTTTGTTGTTTTTTTTTCAGAGTGAGCTTTTTTCTTTTTTCTTCTCATACCAAAAAGGGTGGTAAAGCACTTTTACATTACAAGGGTTTACAAATGTACAATTATACAGTCAGAAGTATGTGGTCACTACTAGGATACATTATAGATACAGATTCAACATCAAAAACCAGAAAAACTACAAAGTTTTATATATATATTTATATATATATGCAAAGGTCTACACCAAGTATACACGTTATATTTATAGAAGCAAGACCAGAAAACGAATCTCCCATGCTAAATGATCTGTCTGCTGGTTAGCTGATGGCGTGTGTGTGTGTGCGTGTGTGCGTGTGTGTATTCGTCTATGATTCTGTGACGTCAGACAAATTAAATACTCGTTCCATCTCATAGTGGTAAATAGCTAGGATGGGATGAGGGGGAGGGGACACTAGGATTGTGTGTGCAGCAGTAGCAAAAAGTGAAATGATTTTTCGAGTTTATCAGAAAAGAGGAAATTAAGGAAAAAAACAACCAAAAAAGGAGAGTGTGGAACGATGAGTGGAACAGGTCTCACCGCTCTCCACTCCCTGCCCTCCCCTCCCTTCCTCCCCCAGTTCAGAAAGCCTGGGCTCGGGTGGGGGAGGGGCAACAAAATCTGACAAAAACTAAGGCTGCCTGTAGCAACAGGCTCCTCCCGAAGGGTTGTCGTGGAAACGGGTGAACGAGGGGTACTCAACGTCCTCAGTGAGTAGGATCTGGGCGGGGTGGGGTGGGGGGGCATTATGCCTTCTGAAGGACTGGACAGGGACAAGAGGGTGGGGCTGGTAGACATGACAGCTTTAGGAGGGTAAGGTGAAGGGTAGGGGGAGGGGTAGATCAGGTGGTAGACATGATTTCAGGCTGGAGGGGGTCGGGGGGAGGTCGGTTTACATGATGCCATTGGGAGGGCCACAGAGAGGACCCAGGTCAACGCCATTCTTCATGTAGTACTTCTCCAGCTTGGCCAAGATGTGTTTTCCATACGTATACTTCCTCAGGGTGGAAATGTGGGGTCGGATCTGTGCAGACACACAAACACACATGTTGAACATGTTGGACGTGGGCTGTATTCACACTCTCTTACACTCACACACACACACACCCTTTTTGGCTACACATGATCTGCATCTAGATTGTATTTTTGTCAACATCAAACAACACCCATTAATTTGTAAATCGATGATCACGTGTGCTTATGTCAGCTTCTGCGTCGTTGCCGAGGAAACCAATGACCTTATTAAGATTTATTGATGTGGAGGTAAATGGTGGTTGTTGGGTTGACAGAGAGGGGGTTTAGTTCCCCTGTAGGGTTATTTAAAGGTTGATATTTAGCACCAAAACAATTACTCAAAACAAAATGAATCAAAGACAATTGTTGCGTAAAATATGTTTTTCAAGGTTTTCAAATCTGGCAGTCCATTTTGCATCCGTCTAAATAAACCATTTTAAGACATCACTTTGAGTTTTGGTATGTTTGGATGGGTTTTAGTGGTCCCCTAGTTTACAGACACATCAACAATCCATAACTGTGAATAGTATACAATATAACAATGCTTGTAGCCCTACATATGTCATATTTTTTGGCAGAACAATGGCAGTGTCTTTGCCTTGTTTGCACTCTCTATAGCCTACACATACATTGCATGCCCAGTGTGTGGAAAAGGTTCAGAACCACCTCCATTATCCCAGCGCTTTGATGGGACACTATTCTTTCCACTTACCTTGTGCATGACGATCTTGCGCTGGGTGGGCTCGGCCACGTCAATCATCTTCTGCACCACATAATTGGCGTACTGGTCCTTCATCATGGTGTATAAGGCACTGTGGGGGCCCTCAGTCAGGCTGCACACCTCGTCTATCAGCACTGCCCGTTCTGCCCGCGACGCATGGGTAACACACTTCTCCACCACATTACTAGAGAAAGGAAGTCAGGGGAGTACGTGAAGATACATTTAGAAAGAAGGAAGAAAAATCTGGCTGCAACTCTGGAGAAACGAAAGAACCTTTTTCAAAAGAAGGGAAGATAAGACCAAAACCGTGTGTGTGTTTGTACTGGAATTTACCTGGCAAACTTGTGCTGGCTGAGTCCCAGTACATTGCCTCTGATCTCAGCCACTATCTTGCTCTTATCCTCAGCTCGGCCGTGCTCCAAAACGTGCTGGATAACATAGTTGCCATACTGGTCCTAAATAAAACAAACGACACAGACACATTAAATAAAACGTGAGGACACCAGCTGGTGCTTCTGACGTCACATCAAACACACAGCCAACTTCAAAACTCTGGACTGAGAGACACTTTATTCAAGCCAACATGAGGTGTCATTATCCTGAAAAACATAACTGGTGGCAGATGAAAGACATCAGCAAGTGCTAGTTTGTGTGCGTTACCTGCACAAGCTGCTCTGTGTGCTGATGGAGCTCCTCTAGTATAGGCAGCGTCTGTTCAGGAAGGCAGTGTTCGAGAATGCGCTGGATGACTCGGCAGCCATAAGGGTGAGTGGAGAGGGCAAAAACCTGAGAGAAGCACATAATTACACGTCTTTACTTATTCAACGCATACACCAAGTGGTGCTGGAGCTCAGTGAGTTGAACACCACTAATTTACCATTGTTCAAACACTTAAGTTGCAGAAAGTCCCTTGGATTAAAACACCAAATGTTCACAGGCACACTTTCACACACCCAACCCACCCCTGCAGCGAAGGTGAAAGCAAATTCCTGACATGCTTACAGCTACACAAACAAATCTGAGCCACTGAGTAGAAAACATGCCGTTGTACAACATGCAAATGTGCAAGAAGCAAAACACTCAAACGTCAGTGAGATTTACTGTCTGACTCCTCAAAACTGAAGCCTTTCATTTGTATAACAAAAGGCGCAGGCATGAACACACAAAATCTCTCTTTTAACACTTTATGCTAATGTAACATTTAGCTGGTGGATAGAAGATGGCTGTTGCCACTGGGCTGAGGTCTCTGTTGCCATGGCAACATACCCTGTCCCTGGAAAGGACTGAGTATATGTCTATGTACTTGCCATGGCCGTGGCAGTGACAATATGCTTGCTGCCTCAAGACAGCGACAGTGTACAAGTGCACACAAGTAAATGTATGTGTGTGTGTGTGTGTGTGTGTGTGTGTGTGTGTGTGTCAGCCATGCACCGACAGGCTTCAGTGATTGAATGTGGAAATAT